ACTGACCATCTTCATACGGCATAGATGTCTTCCTCCAATCGAACAAATATAAGGGTTTGACAACCACCGCCAACAGGCTGTCTAGAATTATGGATAATGGATTCACTTCGAAACAAATCATAGTGTTGTTTGAGAGGTATGTTGGTCGCTGTGATTCACCCACTCTTTTACCTACATATTTTATGTAATATCCGAATTATTGGGATGATGATGATTAATAAATCAATAATAAAATCACTGTAATCTTGGAGCGATCTAAGCAATACCGACTTCAGTGATCTACAAGCTAAGCGTGGGTGTGCGAGACACATGGATGTCGGTACGATTGTCACGTGGGGGCAATGGATACAATCCGTTGGTTAGTCACATACTATGATGAAATGCAAGTTCGATGCTTTCAAGATTTCAAAAGTTATCAAACTCAGATCAGTTTAGGATTTCAATGAAACTTAACAATATCAATAATTTCATTTTTATAATAACAATATTAACGACAATAATGATAATCCAGTCTTGTGAACAAAAAATGTGATGACAGCTATGTAATTGAATTAGGAAATTCATGTGAAGAGAGAAAAACTGATATGGAATCTAGAAATGCAACGACAGAGGTGAACTAATAGCAGACTGATTGGGGATTAGAGTTTATTAAGTAGTATTCGTATAGGATGGGGCAACTGTTGGGCTTGGCAGTCAGACAATTTGAATATTTCTCTTTCGGATAAGTAAATTCGTGATGTTTGTGATGTTTAATCTCAATGACTTACACTATATATGCATTATTTCGACAATCATAACACAATAATCATACTGTGAAGACTAATGAAGAAGTCATTGAAAACAGTTTAATTGCCAATATTGTTTGTTCATGAATACATTATGGTTTAATGTATAGACATATTGATTAAACCCTGTGGTCATTACTTCTCTCTTCAAATTCACTCATCATATTCATCAATAAACGTTTAGTCTATCAATGAATCGTGTCACCATTGAATGTATCAGCCATATCATAAAACAATTGAAAATAACTGAATCTCTATTGTGGTAACTAGAAAATTATTATTTTACCATCAAGGTTAAAAATCTATGTAGAACATCATTCAAGAAGTGTGACACAGTTTCAGTAGTATAAATATGTAAGTAGCGTTTTATGATAGTTAATTATTTAATTACAAATTGAACTTTTAATCCGGATAAAAATTTTACATGATACTTAGTGCTTTTTGTGCATGTTGTGGAATGTCATAGAATTTATCTGTTTTACATCCATTGATAGTTTGTGTAGTGACAATGAGATGATCGTTAATCTTGTTACAGCTATGATTGGTTAATATATATATATATGTATTAACTCCGTTTCATCGATCCGTCAAACTGAAATTTTGTTTAAAAAGCGTTTTGAGCTACTAGATACGTATATTACAAAATTTGTTCATTTGAAGTAAGTTATGAATGGTCTATTGTTTCAATGATTTTATTAACATTCGATTGAGATGTATCGTACATTTATTATCATTTCAATGAGAATTTTTACTTGGAACACTTGGAACACATCAGCTGCTTACAACCATATCTCTATTGAAATGTAACAATAGGGTGAAATAATATGTGAAACAATAGACATCGATGACGGAAAAAATTAGGATAACAAGGGTTATTAATAATGATGACATATATACGGATAGATAGATAGATAGATAGATAAATTGATTGATTGATTGATTGATTGATTGATTGATTGATTGATTGATTGATTGATTGATTGATAGGTAGGTAGATAGATAAAGAATAGAGATATATGGCTAAATTGTCTGAAGAAATATTTTAATATTTGTATTCATTAATTGATCTCATCTGGACCACCATTGAAATCTTGGAAGCACTGGACAATCATTTCGTACTATTATGGAATAACTCAGAAGGGCGCACCCACTAGAAAATAATCATAATAATGACAGTCACGAATAATATTAATTCACTTAATATCTTACCTCAATGCTACATTTCAATACATGTATGGTTGTAAGCAGCTGATGAGAAACCATAAAATATAACGAATTCATTTAATTCTGCTTCAATTATTTTGGCTTGAATAGTTATGACAGATTAGCTCTTGAATAATTATGACGAACAATCTTAATGCTGGATGAAATGTAAAATGTTGGTGTTACTACGCAGATTGCCTCAAAATAGTCATGATTTCATAATTTCATATGGAATAGATGGCATGTGGTTAGCTGTGGAATCCAGTATCTGCTTTTCGCCCTGTTTGGTATGTTAGTACATTCAGCTGACACGTAACATATACCAACTAAGATTAATCAAACCTATGTTAACACATAAAAAATAGGATTATGTAAACCATCACAAATTAAATGCATGTGCTTTATTTAATTATGAGCACAAGAAAGTTAATTAGTTACTTACTTACTTACTTACTTAGGCCTGTTACCCCTCGTGGAGGAGCATAGGCCACCCACCAGCATTCTCCATCCAAACTTGTCTTGGAATATCTTTTCTAGTTCTTTCCAGTTGCCATCCATCCATTTCATATCTGCTTCCCTCTTCCGGCGTACTGTGTTCTTTGACCTTCCTTATTTCTGCTTCCCTTCCGGATTCCAAGTTAGGGCTGGCCTAGTTAAGCGATTCGGTGATTTTCCTAATGTATGTCCGATTAACTTCCAACGTCTTTCCCTAATTTTCTCTTCAGCTGGAAGCCGGTTTGTCCTTGCTTTCTTTTTCCTTTGTGTATGTTGTGACCTATTGAGGCAGAGGCTGCTGATATATTTATTGCCTTCGTTTGTACTTGTTCGTGTGTATGAGATAAGAGGACTAGATCATCTGCGAATTCCAAATCGTCTAATTGATTCTGAGATGTCCATTGTATTCCGTGCTTCCCCTCAGATGTCGAAGTATTCACAATCCAGTCAATCACCAGAAGAAAAAGGAAGGGGGAGGGTGAGCAGTTTTGTGTGACCCGGATCCTCATTTGGAATGCATCTGTCAGCTGTCGTCCATGCACCACTTTGCAGTGTAGTCCGTCAAATGACTTCCGGATAATGTTGACAATCTTCTGAGGAACTTCGCAGTGTCGAAGAAGTACCTATAATGTTCTCCTGTCCACACTGTCAAACGCCTTCCCATAATCAATGAAGTTGATGTCTTGTGACGAACTCCACTAAAGTTGTTGTTCAACGATAACCCGTAGTCTGGTCTGTGAACGACCGATCCTTACGGAATCCGGCCTGTTGATCCCGAAGTTAGGCGTCTAATGCGTCTTTCATCCGGTTCAGCAACACTGTTGAAAATGTTTCCTGGTACTGACAACAGTATGATGCCTCTGTAATTCTCACATTTGCTCAGATCTTTCTATGGTATATTGATGAGGTATCCTTCTTTCCAATCCGTTGGCACTTTTCCTCCTCCCAAATCTTCTTGAATAGAAGGTGAAGCATGTTTGCAGTTACTTCAATGTCTGACTTCAGTGCTTCAGCTGATATGTTGTCAAATCCTGCTGCCTTCCCATTCTAGATTTCTATGATGGCCATCTTGACTTCTTCGATCGTTGGTGTAGTGACAGATATAGGAAGGTCAGTGTGTGCTGCTTCTATATCCGGTGGATTCGATTGAGCTGGTCTATTCAGCAGTTCCTTGAAGTATTCTGCCCATCTTTTCCTCTGTTCTTGAATCTCCGTGATTGTCTCCGCTTCTCTGTCGTTGATTGGTTTCTCCGGTTTACTACATCTATCCGCTAGTTTCTTCGTTCTGTCATAAAATTGTTTCATATCTCCTTCTCACGCACGTTTTTCCGCCGTCTTTGTTAGTTTGCCCATGTATTTCTGCTTGTCACTTTTGATGCTTTTCTTCACTTGCTTGTTTGCTTCTGCCTACTCTGCTTGTGCTTTGACTTTCTCGTGTTCGACTGTTGTTAATTGCTAGTTTCTTGTTCTTCCTTTCATTAATCTTGTCCAGGGTTCGCATAGAGATCCATTAGTTATGATGATGTTTGTGGAAACCCCACTCCTCCTGACATGTTGAATTTAGTGCTTCTTCGATCACTTTCCAGTTGTTCACCATCGTAGGTTCTTCTTCCTGTAGATCCTATAGAGCTTGGAACTTGTTGTTGACAGTTATCTTGAATTCGTTTAGTTTGTTTGTATATCGAAGGAATTCTGTATTGAACCCTTATGATTCTGTTTGTCCAGTTTTCCATTGTTTCTTTAGCTTCAGTTCCATCTTGGCAGACAGAACCAGTTAATGATCTGAAGCCATGTCAGCTCCTCTCCTGGTTATTACACCTTCCATTGTCCTTCGGAATGTTTTGTTGTGCAAATATGATACAAAACGGTCTATCTGTTTGCCTGTGGTTTGGGCCGGCGAGATCCATGTAGCTTTATGTATGCATTTGTCAGGGAATATTGTGCCGTCTATAACCAATTTGTTGAATGCACATAGATTTGCGAATCTCTCCCCATTTTCATTTCTCTCCCCTAATTCATGTCGTTCAATTATACCTTTATATCCTGTGTTGTCCACTCCGACTTTAACATTTAGATCTCCCATCAGGATGGTGAGGTCCTTCCTTGAGCACTTCACTATGATTGATTGCAGCCTCTCATAGAACTGATCTTTGTCGTCGTCATCGTTGTTATGATTGGTGGATACATAACATTGCATAACATTCATTGTGATCCCCTCCTTCTTTGTTTTGAATGATGATTTGATTATCTTGAATCCATGAGATTCCCATCCTATATGTGCATTTCGGGCTTCTCTGGACAGCATTAGAGCAATTTACTAAGTGCGTGGAGCACTTTCCTGTTCTTGACCAGAGTACAGCAGCATCTCTCCTTACCTAGTCTTTGCTGTCCAGCTAGTGTCTAATGGGTTTCGCTGATTCCGAGTACTGCCAATTTGTATCTACTCATTTCCACTGCTATTTGACTGGTCTTCCCAGTCTCCCACATTGTCCGGACGTTCCATGTACCTATAAAGGTTGTTGCTCTGGTTGTTAGAAGGGGCATCATAATTTTTCCTTCAACTCCTAGGGCGGGGTTTAAACGGTTTGAATTATTTTCTCTGGTCAGTGTTTCTTTAGCGAGTTAGTTTTCCTACGGGATGGGGGTGATAACCTCATGCCCGATCCTCTTCCTTTATCCGGGCTTGGGCACGGCATTGACTCTAGGAGAGCTACAGACGGAGTTATTAGAAAGATACAAGTATAAAAACGAAATATTATAAAGTGGACATAGTAAATCTATTGAATATTCAAGTGGTAATTTCATTCGTTATTTAACCTAATATAATCAATCTTTCAGGTACAATTGATCATTGATTAGCATTGAATTTATTTACCATATAAGTTATCAAACTTCTCTTTGTATATGCATCTGTATGCATTTGTACAATTATAAATAAATGATAGTAATTTATTGATGTGTTAAACAAGTACCTTATATGAAATTAATCATTTTAAGACAACCTAGAAACTAGTTGGTTAACTAAATCAAGAACCTGAAAATCGATCATTGACGAGTTTTATACACATTCCATGTCATCAAGTAGTGTTGCGTTTGGTTACCAATGATAAATCACTGCTGTCTTTCATTTAAAATATACACAACGCTAACTAAAATCTTTTAATGAAACATGGAATTGAAGTCTCATCGTAGTTTGAAGCGAATATACACAGATTTTCTCAAAACAACTGAATTTATCTTATGAAGCATATGAAACTACGAAGATTTGGATTATTGTTTCATTCCCTATCAATCTCTTTTCTTCATCACAACTTGGACAAAGTCAGGTAGCTTTCAGATCCTTAGATTAGTTTGATAAATTTAGAACCAATAAGTAGGAATTCAGTGCTCTATAGTATCAGTGTATACCAGTTTGTGATGTAGAAATATCTCCACCGACTTTCAATGACTTTCATTCTAGAAATGTTTGTTATTCAAACATTTCCGTTGAAAACTTGGTTGAAGTTCAATCTGACTTATTTTCCACAGCTCAAGAAGAAGATTTCAACAGAAAATTGTCAACAAAGCAACGAATATCCGTATGGCAGTTTGTGGAGATTGTATTATTTTCCCAGTCGAATTCACAAGTCGATCTAAGGTAGAGGTTAGGCGTTCGTTTACGAGATCGAAGGTTTGGGGTTCCAGTTTCATGTGTGATCGTAGATGCGTACTGGTGAGGAATCCCATACTGGCACGAAATGGTCGTCCAATGCATCCAGGTTTGCTATGTTGATCTACATTAAATCGACTTACGAATTCAACTGCGAAAATCAATAATTGACCTAACTAATCGTTGCTAATTCCTTTATATCTTTTACTTAAATAAATCATAAAAGCTTTTTCTGACATTATTCAACTACTAGAAATGATATCACAACTGGTCATAGTGAAAGTTGCTGTGGTTCTCTTATGGACATTTAATATAATGAAGGTAGAAGCATACACATATTTAGCACCAATAAAATTTGATGATTCCGGTAAGTGTTTCATTATTATTGATGATGATAAATAATAGCAGTATTTTTGCACTGAAGGAATTCATTCCATTTCTAGTGAACTGTAGAAAAAACACATCAAGCCAAATACAAATTTTACAGGTGACATCAACAAGGTTCGACATGATAATTTCAAATGAGTTGAACATTAAGTTTGAACACAAAAGCACTTCATGTGTGATGTAGAGGAACTTAGTTTAGTCTAGTCGAATGAATTTTGATTTCTTAGTTACGAGTTCAAACAGAATATTGATATTTCGGTCGTAACACATTTGTACTCTCACATAAAATTAGTCACGGTTGAAAAGCGAATAATTAAAAAAAGGGCCAATATGTGACTCAAAAAGAACGAATTAATCTTTCTGTCAGAAATCTAGAATAATTTCTGTGTGTTTCACATAGTATTAGACACCACAGCTCATTAGTTCCTTGATTCATGAATGTCTCATCTTATGGGGGATTTCCGCGCATCCTCAAGCACTGTCAATGAAACTCTTCGATCATTCGAAAATTCCATGTGCCTACATCTGGTTCGTAACTCTCCAACGAACCTTCGCTCTATTATTAAAACACAACCCCTATTCAACTTAAACGATCGTCAGACGAGTCAACCTGTGCTATACAGTTAAGAGTTCCTCTAGCACAAACTAACGTACTGAGAATCAATAATAGACAAGATCAGTTATCTATCTGCAATGATTCCATCAATATTTCGAAGTATATAGTCCAAGGGTAACACGGCTTTTGTGAAGTGATACAAAGGTGTAGAAGGGCGTATACTAAGATTTATTGAAGCCATAGCCATGCAAAAATTCAAACCCCCTTTGTGTATTCAAGAACAGTTTGTTCTCACTTTAAACCTACCTTGGTAATATTAGCTTATTATACAGAGTGATGAGGTATCAATTTGTTTTCCCATTATCAATTACTTTATTATCCTTATCTCATCTTGCCCACCCATTGCCAGTCTAGTTGACCTTTTATGCTTGTTTATAGATGTTCTTATCAAGTAAATTATGTGTGATCAGATTGTTCGAAATGTATTGCGCTAATATCTCACATAGTTCTGATAATCCTCATCTTCTTATCCCAATATTGAAATTTATCGAAGGGATTAATTGCTTGAAATTATTGGTTTTAAAATAATAATTATTGGTTGCTAATTTCTGAAAAGTTCTTTAAAGCGTAAATTTTTGTCGGCTGATTACCCTTTCCCCAAACTATGAACGCAAATAAATTACCAACTAATGGGTGCATTGTTTTGAACATTGTCACTGACAATGACAATGTATTCCTGAGTACGTTGTATCTGGTAGCCTTCCAAATGAGCACACATTTCCAGAAACAAATTGATCAATATTTTTCAAACATTTTTAATCACACCCAGGAAATTTTCATCTCTAGAAGTCAGGAATCGCAATAAACATGCAATAAATGTCAGCCAGACCTACAGACCCACCAATGTCAGCGGAGAGGAACATAAAGATCATTTTTATAATAGAACGCAAACTGTCTTAGGAAAGTGCCCAGGAAAGGATTTGACCATACTGACGAGGGTTTGGATAACCGAGGCCAGGATAGATGTCACCATATATGAGGATATCATAGGGCGACATGGACAGAGAGAGTGAAAAGTGAGAATTGTGAGTAACTTGTAGATCATTATGATTCAACGAAATGATTATCGGTTGCAGGATTTTCCCATAAATACAAACACAAAGCTATTTGTATTTTACCGGAACATATCACAAAGAACAAGATTGATCATGTCTAGATTATGAAATATTCAGAATGTCAACTGAAGACGGAGGAACATATAGAAGAGCTAATATGGCTTTGGATCACCACCCACTGCTGTACAAGCCAGAAAAGCAGTGGATAATTTAATCAACATCACTGCAGAGGTTTAATATACCATTCCTTCGAGATGCTGACATGCCTGAGAATTCAACATTGTTTTCATCAATCAGTTTCAAACATTACAAAACCTATGAGAAGGATAGAAGACAATGATCAAGAACGACTGCATTGAGGTTAAAAAAGATACAACTTCCACCTACTGGGAAGTAATCTGCCAGTGTAATTCTTCTCAATTCGACAGAGTATCTGAGAACGTTTTTAGCATCGCACGGAACTCGTATCAAGAATCATAATGCAAGCCATGCATGGAAGACAGCTCAAAGATGTGTTCTGAGTAAGGACTGATACAAGACAAGGTTCCTTACGTTCACCGTTTCCCTTTATTTTCGTTGTCAACTGACTTATAATGACCTTCACATTTTAGGACGACCACGGAATACAGTGGAAAGCTTAAACGTGACTGTATAGTCCTGACTTTGCAGACGAATCATCCTTGATATTACACTCACAGTATCAAATACAAATGTAGATAAATAATTGTGGTGTTTATATGAACCAATGATTCCTTCGTATTGATGACTGCTTGATTTTGAAATTCCAAATACAATACACTCGTTCGTGTTCATCTAATACTTCTTGAATAAATTGCGTTGTTTCTGGGATTACTAGTATACACCATAATTCAAATACTCTTAAATATCACATGGGCGTCGAGATGGAGCATGTGTTGTAACGGTCGGATATACATTCAGATTTTAATGCTTTTGAGGATTATATGAACAGGTTCGAAATCTGGGCTATGACCAAGGAAGATGTTGAGGATTTTAATATTGTGGCCCATTTCCTTACATTCATCGAAAAAGAAGCATACAGCCTTATAAGGACTTTGGCATTTCCAGACAAACCGATTTCACTCCTTTATGCAACTCTCAAGCAACTACTTCTGGATCATGTAAAGTATGCATATTTCGAATGCGGTAAAGGAGAAACGATTCAAAAAATGATTCGTCAGAACATCACGAATTCCACTAATTTACTACGTCATCGCAGTCCAATATGTAATCAAGGTTATTCAGATAACAATTCATTGAGTTATAAAACAGTTCACGAAAATGAGCACAGGTTTCGTAAATACTTGTTCTGTGGCATGTAATTCATGTAAATTTCGTAATTCTGAACGCGTTAAATGTGGTAAAATTGGGAAAATTCAGTCAGTTTGTAATACCATGGTTCATTTTGATGAAACTAATGCTGAGGTGGATGTTTCTAAAGAGCACTGTATCTAAAACTTCTAGAAGCGGTATAATGTCACATAGCAGTACAGAGTTGAATGAAACCCAGAATCACTGTTAGACAAAAGTTCCCAATCAACCAGCTTCTTATCGGATTGCTCGTGTTATTGTACCAGATATGGTTTGTCATACTGATTCACATATTTCTGATGACATTTCTTACAACTCTGTGAATAAAATGTTGAATAGGTGAAACCATGATCAGAAACCGGACTCAGTTTTGGTAGATGCTGATTTTTTTAATGATTCATTATTCTCCAATGAAAGTTCAAATAAATTTGAGGGAAATATTTCAGAAAAGTCAGATTCTGATGTCATATCAAATGTTATTCATCATCACATTTGGTTTATCTCTAGAGAATTCCCTAATGAATGCGACAAATATGTTCCGTATGAGTCGAATTCTAGTCACATTCCTGATGTTATTGTACCAGATGTTAGATATTCTCCGAATCAATGTGTGTCGAGTAGAATCCCTATTCAGTGATATGGTGAGTCAGAGGGAATAGGAAGTTTTCCCGAAACAATGAGAGAACCAGTTTTCCCAGATATGGGATTTGCACAGACAGAAAATCCAAATCAGGTCCAAGCTTATCCTAATGAGTATGAGGTAGATGCATGTTCTCCATTCGATTGTTTCTCAGGTGAATCAAGCCTAGGTGATACACATGTGTCTATTACACATATCAATGTATATCTATCTGTGTATTCTAATATGAATAACAAAAAGAATATGCATCATAATTTTTGTGCAAATCGAGGTCACGTAATGGAATGCCTCAAATCACATGTCAGTGTATATTCCCAAATACTCACATATAATAATCAAAGTGGGAGATATAAGAAGACAATGCAAACTAAGAACGTCATATTGGTTGTAACATTATTTCGTGGGGGAAGATAGTGTTGGAAAGTCTATGACGCAAATGTTAGATAACAGTGGTTTCAATACACAACGACATGATCATTGCATAAAATTCCAGGAATCAGATAGTACAAAGTCTACACCCATGACACAATCGGGCACACACGTGATGAACCTAAAAAGAAGAGCTACGATTGATCGCAGAGATCTGGATCCTAATTTCAGCTGTCGCGGATGTGGTTTATATATGAACCAATGATTCCTTCGTATTGATGACTGCTTGATTTTGAATTCCAAATACAATACATTCGTTCGTGTTCATCTAATACTTCTTGAATAAATTACTTTGTTTCTGGGTGATGTGTGGGCCAGAATGATAATGATTGGTTGCTTTGCTCAGTTAGACATGTGACAGATGTTATATGTGTTATATATTCCCTTATCCTTGTTATTTATTGTTATCACTGAATTATTGTTCCTTGTTGTTGGATTGTGTCGAATTTGGGTGTGGAAATATACTAACGTTCTAGTCAGGCTAATCACGTGTTCTTGATCTGAGTTGTGTTGAAGTCCTGTAGAATAGACATTGGGTGGGAATCTAGTGTAGATATTCGTCCACGGTAATTTAACGTCCCACATACGTGTAACAAGTGAAAGGACTGTTATAATAAGCAACCCTAGCGTTGTAACAAATATACTAACTTTATAACACGGGAATTATATTATAATTCAAATACTCTTAAATATCACATTAATGTAGTGGAGGCTCTTGAAACAGTTCGCTTCAATGTTCACGCGAAGGAGGATCGTGAAATACGACACATCGACCAGCAATCAAATCACGTTTGATGAAGAGGTTCTGGGACAAATTTTAAGCATCACAGTATAACCCTTAAACACTACTTAAAAGTATCAGTGACTACATTTTGATCGACTGATTCCAGAATCTCCAAACTCACATTTTATTGTCTTGACACTTGGAAAATGATCTAAAACCAAATATTGAAGTGTCGCATAAACGTGTTTTGGTTTCTTTAGTGTATCACTGACATATATTCAAACTCAGTCTGTATAATTTTATTTGTCCTTTATCCGAAATCCGGTATTAACTAACAAGTTGCTATTGTGTATATGATAATTTCTCTATTTAGGAGAAATGTACATTGATTTGGGCAATTTGAATGTTTCGTTGAGCTCAGATTTTCAATTAACAATAAGCGATGGAGACTGTACAAAAACGCTATCTTTGAAACCACCAACCGACGAAGAGAAACTTTCTAAACATGGATATCGTCCAGGATCTTCGTAAGTTTAAAACATGATATGAATTGAGTGGATAATGCAGTTGCTCCTTAATCACGACATCACCATTGCCTTGATCGGTAGATAAAATGACCATAAGGTCAGTCGTTTGATTTTTGATTTCATAGAACATCATTGTATACCATCCGTATTTTATTGAGAACATACGCAGGCAAATCACTGTCTGATATTATGGTGTATGCTACTGATATATATATGTCATATATGTCCTCTTCTCGCAGCTTTTCGCACCATCATTGCTAGGTTATCCACATGTTTCTGCTTCTCAGTTCTAATGCTCCTCTTCACCTGTTCGTTTGCTTCTGTGTATCCATCTTGTTCCTTAACTTCCTTCGTTCTTTTTCGGCTGTTGTTAATTGCTGTCCTCCTCTTCTTCGTTTCTTGAATCCTGCTCAGGGTTTGCATAGAGTGCCATTCCTTATGATGATGCTTCTTGAGGCCCAGCTACTCCTGACACGTTGAAGTTGTGCTTGTTTGATCCCTTTCCAATTGTCGCCATAGTAGTTTCATCTTCTTTGAGTAGATCTTGTGTGGCTTCAAACTTGTCGCTGAGACTAATCTTGGATTTGTCAGTACGTTGAAGGAAGTCTACCTATTTAATGCTGTTTCCTCAATTTCCCAATGTCGTTCTAACTTCAGTTTCCCTTGTTAACCACCAGTTGGTGATGATCTGAAGTTATCTCAGCTCCTCTCCTGATTCTCACGTCTTCCGCTGACCTTGTGAATTTCTTACTAATGGGAATATTATTAGTCTGGTTCTCTGCAAAGTGATCCAATGGGGCCCATGTAGCTTTGTGTACGCGTTTGGGAAAGTATATAATCATTCTGTTGAGGGCACAAAAATGTGCAAGTATCTCACCATTGTCATTTCTCTCTCCCAGTCAGAACATATCGTCACAAGTTGTATCTCCTCATTTCCGTAGCTATTTGATTGGGATAACCTGTCTGTCACATTATCACATTTATCTAGAATAATTGTTGGTCTGGTTGTTGGAAGGGGTATCGACCTTGTGACCTCCGACAAATCTGGTTTTTCATCATGAAGAGTCATAATTTCCCTGAATGAGTAATTATTAGTATGAATACTGTCACATTTTGAATGAAATCAGTAGCCCATTTACATAACATATCCATCTTGCAAGTGTTCATTGTCAGCTAAACCTGAGTTACTACAAATGTTTCCAGTGTTAAGAAGAGATGAAGTGCATTTCGGAACAAGTAAGATTCAACTTCAAAATTATAAGCCTGTCTAAAATTTAACAAGTCACTGTTGTGGCGTGTAGTGTCTTAAATCTGATACTGTTACACAACATGCTACATACTAACCCCCACCCACCCACCTCCAAAAGTGTATTTGACTACCGAATAAAATGCACAATCACTCATTCATATACATACCACTGTAATCCTTAGGGAAGTTGATCCATTTCTTAGCCTGTGAAATGCACTTGTCACTCAGGTCACTTTTGACTACCATTCGGCTACTTCTGATTAGCTCTGCATATCACCATTCCCTCCTGAATAGTAAGTCTTGCTCCTTAGATGTGACTGATGGTGTTCAGAGAAATGTCGTCTTCTTGATACTTTCTTGGGATCTGGCCATCACTTCTTCCACACTGATCCTGATGCTCTAAACTGACCGTATCAATGAAATTATCTAGGTTCAAGTTCGAGCTAGGAGGTTCTCTATCTCAATTTAATCGTCTATTACTAATGAGGCATACATATCGCACGTTACCAAACTGTAGTTTAATTCTCCTCGCCTTCGGTTCATAATCTCACCCTCTTCTCTGTGAATGTATGCTATCAAATGAAATCCCAATCTTCCTTCCGAAAATTGTCTTAGCAGTAGAGACAACCTTAGGTGAGTTTGGATTCAGGTTTATTGTTGGTGATTTTCTCGATCGTGCACTTCCCTGCTGATAAGTTTGAAAATCATTAGAAAATTTCTGTCGCTATTTGTGCATCATATGAATGAGGATAGGGAAATACTTGGTTGCAAATAAGATTGGATGACTGATCGAGCACTTCTGAATCTGGATTCCATATAAGATTAAATGGATAATCAGAAGTTTTTTTCATTATGTGATTCAGTTAAGAGCCAATAGGTTGAAGGATTCACCAGTAACACAGCATTTGGATTTGGTTATTAGGTCATAGGATTTGATTGTACGTTTAATAATTCCAGAAATTTTGATTGGGATACCCAGTGCATTCCTTTTGCAATCGTTGGTAGGATGAATGCTTGGCCGACCACGTTAAGTGCCAAGTTTTGTGAGAATTCAAAGTCACATCAGATACAGTGTCCATTTGTTAAGTGATAATACGGTCATTAACATCAATGTACAAATACTTGTGTTATCATTGGGAGTTAGATTTTGACAATACATTAATACAATTAATCCATTTTGTCACTCGATGATAGGATGATGGCTTGCTGTGTTTTCACAATCTCTCCATATGACCCATTACTCAAAATTTTGAGCATTTGTCTTCATCGAATGAGCAGATACGGCAGATATGCCATGCAACACAGTTCCAACTAATAGTAGAAGGCCTTGTAGAGCAACTTGAATCAAAGTCATGGACACTATGCATTCGACTCGGGCGAGGAAAGTTTTGCGAATCGCGATTTGCAACATTTATCCTGAGATCTGAATGAAAAAATTTCATCTAATCAAATAAATTTAAATTTGGACGTTCGATCATTTTAGTATTATTTCTAAGATTTTAACGTGACAGCATTCATTTGTGATATCATTCGAAGTAATATTGGGGTCCGACTCGACTCTGTTTACAATTCTAGTACGAATACTTTAGTCCAACGATGATTCCAACCCACATACAAAGATAAGACATTTAAATTGTTTGTCAGAAAGTGGAAACAACTTAAAACTCTCTCATTGTTTATTAACAAATGCTGCATATGAAACAAAGTCATCTTTAGGTCTTTTAACAGTTCTGATTGACATCGATTAACCTTCTGCTACTTCTCATTAGCTCTCCATATCAGTCACAACGATTGTTCAACATATTTTATTATTTCCGCACACTATTCTTCTGTTTTCCTCAGTGAATTATGCCTTGAACAAAATGAATACTTTGATTACTTACTCTGTCAAAATGTATAGGCATTAGATATCATAATCTGTATCATTTTAATAATACGAGTGAGTATCTACAAATTGATTTGTAACACATTACGCCCTACAGTAAATAACGGATCATTTGTCAAATGTCGAAGGATACTTGAGTGAAACATTTCATTATATAGTCAGTCACAACGTGTAAGCTATACATATGTGCACCCCATTTTTACAAAGAGATTAAATTATCAGGTCAAATCCCAGAATAGTAGAGTAAGTTACAGTATCAGTGGTAATAAGAAAGATAAGGCACTGAAGATACGACTGAAAACGAAAATAAAAACTAATGAAATAAAAGCACGAAAAACAAGTTTTGAGAAATTTAGAGTCCAAGGATTTGGGGAGACACTATGAGTGGATCCACATGTGCCATAGCAAACGATGTTCAGCCACGTCATTCAAAATCTTCAACCATTGGTTGCGATAATCACGTGGAGCCCAACCAGTTAGTCTTTACCTATTAACATGACTAAGTTCAAGTTCCAGTGGCATCATGGATCGATGTCATGTCTTGGTTTGACCGACCCTAGATTTCTTTTAGCATACTCTTGCACTATAAAACATGCCTCATCGAGGTAGGTGGTGGTCGGACATACATAACACGTGTCCTAACCACCTCAGCTAATGAAGATTTACTGCCTCACCAATCAATTTTCTATATTTACCTAGTGCTCCATTCCTAACCCAGAACTTACCTATTCTATGGGCCAAAAATATACAGGTAATGCTTCATCGGGAGCCAGGACCGGATACCAGTAACCTACGAGTATCTCATACTCTGAATAGCCACAATTAATCATATAATTATCCGGTGAATAAACAAATATTTTCTACTCCACATTCTTAATGAAAATATCCAATGCTTTGATATAGAAAACTCAGACCACTACAGCAAATATCACTCCGAACTTTTATTTTCTCATATTATTTTAGCTTATGCCAAAGCTGGTTCCTTCGGGGACGACGTCACATGAAGAAAAGAACTCAGAGCTTGTGGCCTGATTTACTCTTTTAATTACAACTTCTATAATAAACACTTTGGAATAAATTGTAGCTTTTAGCCCTATTTGCTTTGTCTTCGAATTTTCCGGGTCATTAGTTTTCATTCGATAAAGCGTGTTTGACAGTTTTGATTAAGTGACTGTTAGCTAAAACGAATCTCTGTTTTAGCCAGATTACAAATAAAGTGGATATTGTCTTCGATCTGTTCTTGTAGTATGTGTATTTATCGATAATAGTTGGTAAGATATATCGTCGAGTTTAGAATGACTAATACATCTCGTAGAATTTGCGTCCATATAATATACTATCGCAATTTATTAATTGACAAGGAGAAAGGTTTCGGCATTCATGGTAATGCATCAATGTGTACGTAGCATCCACAAAACCCCTCACGTAGCTAAGTTTCAACGAACATTAGTGTTAACTACTAGTGCTCTGAATTTATCTAATTGATCTGTGAGGTATTATCAAACATTTGTTATATTGAAATAATAATGGTCGAATAAATCAAGAAATCAAACATCTGGATTCCAATGTTAACGCAAAAACTCAAGTCTTGTGAATATCCTTCAAACATTCGAAAACTATTTGAGTAGCTTACAGATGAGAAACACAGAAGTGCTGATAACATTAAAATAGTAACGTCGATTACTGATAAGAAACCACTCTTCTACAAGCTCCAATTTAACGAAGATACAGCCAGCTCTGTACTACAGAACGGAGTGGCTAAGGCGATGGAGAATACATTTTATGCATTTAACCGCCGTCTATCAATTTGCACATGGCTTATGATAATTCGTCAATTAAAGGATAGGTTACTTGGTTTTATCACATTCACGTGAATTTATAAGTTCATCTAATCACAATTACTCCTAACAACCACAATAGAAACATTTTCAGGTACGAATTTCAATCGCAATACGTTCACTTATGCCCATCGAGTGCCATTTAACCAAAAGTGGACAATTCCGCAAATCCTTAATCAGTATATCTATTTGAATATTTTCAACTGCGAATTAGTTTCTTAATGAAGCCTGTGATCGGACAGTACACCTCAGCTACTGAAGAATAGTTCAGTTGATGTCAGTAACCGAACAGTTCGATAAACAATCAAACACCTCAGCTACTGAAGAAAGAGTAGTTCGATTGATGACAAATTGAAAGTATGATCAGAACACATACGAAGGAAAAACAATTTCATTATCACATAAAACACTCAAGTAATTACTACTCAGTCATGTGTGGTGTGTCAGTTTTGAATGAAGAATGTGTGTATACGTGAGAGAGATCAAAATTTCATAGAGATAATACGACAGAATAGTGACCTCCAAAGTGAATTAAAAAAATAGGTCGTGAAATGCATTTGAGAGACTGCTTGTACACCCACCTTCATGACCGCTTAGTTGCTGGTGTAAATATTCCGAATTAGAAAAGAGAATTAATCCAGAGACCAAGAAGTCCATTTCGGGAAATTAAAACAGCCTGTATCAACCATGAGGCAGTTGATGAGCTTGATTTTTGAGCAGTGAAAATTTCTGATACTCTGCTTATCCATCATGATGACTTATATTGTTTATTTATTTATTTAAACACATAAATATTGGTACAAGGAGCATCAGATATATATGCGCTCCACACTTAGATTGTCCAGATTGTTGATTATAATGGTTCTCATTTGCGTGAAAATATTGAAAACGAATGAACAATGTTTCAATTCAGCATTTAGATATGAGAACAGATTTGATGAGTGATTATCATGTAGTAAACTGTCACGTCCATTTGGTGATGCTAAATGTTTCAATTGTTAGACACATGAATTTGGTATGTCGGACATTTGTTCATCTCAGTACTAGCGAACCTAAACCATGTTATTCAAATATCAGATCCATGATTTAGGGAGTCATTTTCCACATTAAGATGCGATAATATACTTTATTTGGTCTATTCCATGATTTCATTGTTGATAAAAGAAGTATAGATTCCTTCGTCATTTCATTCAAGAAATTGAAGTCTTTTGATTCCTATGTTTCAAGATGACCTAATGAAGTCTCAACATTGGAGATTACTGGACAGGAAGTGCTTACAAGAGCATTTTCTGAATTGTCAGTTAGAGATGACAGTTCTTGATATATCCCTTGTTATTTTCTATTGAGTGAAATAGGATTATCTATGATGAGTTTAAAATAACAAGTGATAAGGCGGATTTGTCTTCAATAACCTACAAAAACATTGTGATGCTATGCTCAAAACTGTGATGGGTGCATGTGCTTATTGAAATGGAGGGACGAAAATTCACTTCAGGGTGATCTAGTTTTTCTTAAAAGACTAGTAATTCTGAATGGTGATAGACAAGCAGTGCGTAGAACACTGACTTCATTTGTGAGACAATGATAATTGAGGCGCTTTGGTACTCAACACGGAGTAATGCTATTATTAGATCATTGAAATCCAATCGAAATATCGATAGAATATGTGGTGACTACGGTTTACCATCGATTTCTCTTCTAGCTGAAGCAAACATGTATCACAATTGAAGCTGGTGGTATTCTCAATCGACTTCATGGTTCTAATGTGTATCGTAAAATTGATTTGAAATGTGCCTATCTTCAGATAACATTAGATCAATCACCATCTATCTTGTAAATTGATACGTCTTTTAGGTTGAACGCTTTATTCAGATCCTAAGCTATTCGGATAACCCCAGGGCTAGCACTACTCAGTGACTTGAAGACCAGAGAGAAGACACGAGTAACAGAGAAAACGCTTTACTTCAAGGTTCATTTTGTACAGAAAATCGTAGGTATTTATAGATGTTTGCTTAAGTTAAATCAACATCCTAATTCAGCCAATGCACTTAACGACATATATTGCTACTGACCAATGGTAGCATGCCATGTTGGAACTCCAGAATGTTCTGTCGTACTCTGTTTGCTTGGGTCTCTTTTTGAGCCTCTGGAGGCTCTGTTGGAGTTCTCTGGAAACCGACTTAACATAAATGATTACCACTACTATTGTTTTGTTTATATACAATCGTCTTCCATTCAGTCTTACTTGTTCTCCAACAATCTTCCAAGAAGTATTGAGTAAAGTAATTGATGATCTTAAAAGTATTGATTTTCATCATGATGATTCTATTGTTCATGGTGCTGATGAAACAGCATATGATCACAGTCTGGATTGTATATTGCGCCATCTGCTTGCGAAAGATGTTGAAATGAATCTAAACAAGTGTTCGTTGAGTGTACTGATTTTGAATATCTTGGATATTCATTTAACGGTACTGGTTTTAGACCAGATATGAAGCTCCTGACTCCACTTACGAACCTGCATGTGACATTCTGTTAACCGCACAGTGTTCGTTAGTGAAATCACAAGCACTCAATTATAAATTCGATCTGTGGAAATTGACACTAAGTGGTCGATGAGGTAGCTTAAATAGGTGATAAATATAATTGAACGCTTTATAATCAGTAACAAAACAGATTTTTCAATCAAACTAGCATCCGCGCTGTGTTTCAACTACACGTACCACATATGGAGAGTGTCCGTGTATGTAGAGATGTCACAGATATTTCCGTTTCCGACAGCTATTTTGTTCGAAGCACAATTGTAATCAAAAAATAACAACTCAGGGAAACCAGAAGTCAGGAATGATTGTGTTCGAAGATATGTTCGGGAAGTTATCGATATGTTGAGAAGAGTTTGATCCAAGTTACGTTGTCGTTGCAAGGAATGTGTAGCACAACGTACACACTAATGATCTGTTGTGAGTGAGTGGTTGAGCGCCTTTAGCTATAATGTGTTCACCAAAATTAATGAGGTCAACATCAATTTCAAAGACTTACATAACTATTTATTTTGGGATTTATTTATGTTAGAATCCGAAGAGAAACTTCACCATTTAAGAAATGAAAAGTATTTCTTACTAAATCCTAGTGTCACTGTTCCCATTAGGATGATGAGCTCACTTTGATGCTGGTATCAGTTGAACAACCACTGGAAATTAACAAGCACTAAACAGTTTTTCGTCTTAGCATTGTACATCCAAGAACCCAACAGAAACAAAATATGGGAGATTCATGTATGCCACTGGGATTATAAACTTCAAACAACTGAACCCTCATACTGTTAACGTCAGCAATTTATTTATAAAAATAATACAGATGTCGAAAAGTGGTTACTAATCACCAACGTCGAGAGATCTTTCCCGGAGTTCTAGTGGAAAACCTAGAATACTGTTATTCCACATAGTTAAAGTGATGAAAATATCACAAATCATAAGGTTGAGTAAAACGAACTTCAGATATGTGGTTCCAGTTGTAATGTTTGTGACCACTATATCATAATGACTGTTTAAATAATTCCCAAATTCAGAAAAATGGAGAAAGTGAAAATCAGAATTGTGCACAATGAAGAAGAGATGTGAATAAGTCAAAAAGACATGACTAGCACATAGACACAGGCAACGAGTGTCGATTGTGGTGAAGATTTACTACAGTTACTGTGTTATTAGATGTTTTATGTTATGTTGTAATCTGTGGCAACTACGAGATACAATTCGATTCTGCTCACAGAAAATTTGGATTTTCGAATGACTATTATCTAAGGTTTATTGTAGTCACTTATTTATTCTTAGAGAAAGCTATCGAAGAGAGTGAAATATAAACCTGTGATATCAACGACTGATAGACCATTTTCGTGCAGATAGTACCTTCAATTAAAATAAAACAAGAAAGAGAAGATTCGTGTTGAATAACATGAATATGTTTGTTTTCCTTGAATCTCATCCACTGTCGAATGATGTTTGTAGTAATAAATCAAATATTCTGATATCAGTAGTTATTTATCAGATCTTGCTTATCCTAGTGCATTAGAATGAAATTCTCTCGTAATCGCATGAATAATTAGCCACTACCGATATGAATCATGCCCACCCATTAACTGAAATCACATAGATAACGTGAAGTGTAGGAGTATTGAGCTAGTCAGTATGGGTTCTTGAATGATTTATCAGAAAGCGAACTGGACTTGTCCAATTATGCTAAATGTTCTAGTGATGATGAATTATGCTAACGCGTTCACGATCAATGAGAACTTCGATCAGGCTTATGTTATTCCACTATATCATACACATTCACGAATATCTTGTTGAACTGGTGTAATACTCAACAACTAAGCGACCATGAAACTGGTCCCTTCTGTTCTGCTGAATATGTCTTATTAATTCACATCGATAATTGTAAGTCTTTTAGTCATTTACATTTTCACATCTATCTAAATGCATGTAGCTGTTCGATTTATTCCTTAACCATTCAAACTATCTATGAAGACAGGCAATCATTCTTGCATCAATACGCGACAATATGATCTAAGCATTTGTTCATACATCTCGAATCTCTGTACCTTGTGAGCTGGGTCTACTATAGTGAGAGTGTTTCAAAAATAATGTCTGACTCATCATCCATAAATCACGAATGTCTTACGAAATGTGTCCTATTAGATCAACCATATGGCATTTTCGGGATAACGTACAAGTAACATCCAAACACTAAAATCTACTACAAAGGAAATAATTCACCATCCAGCATTCAATTAACCTACAACTGCTTGTTAAATGCTAACTAATCAAGCGAAAAGACCTGCAAATGCTGTCATTTGTTTGAGTCTCAGAGTTGTTGTTCACACCATTACTCAAGTCATTAGTTATCTGAACTCAGTGGCTATATGGATGACCCAGTGGTGGTGTTTGAAGAGAACGCTACTGGTTTCAAGTTTGAGAGTGCACATCAATTCTGTGATGAGGGAACATGCAGCTGACTAGTCCTTAACAGGAAGAAGCGTGCTTCCTGAACTCCACTACTACTCATCATATATTTCTGGTTAAAATGCTTGTAAATCAATGACAATATCTTGGTAATACGTACTATATGTACACATATTCAAAAGTGACTGGTCAAATGTAGTCCCAAGCATCAACGGGATGATCCAGACAACCAATATGTCCATCACTTTTCCGGTGGACAAGTTGTACTCGATATGAAAACTAAACCTGATTTCCAATATGCGGTGAAACTAAAGGTTAAATCAGCCATCGTTCGACATAATAGCTAGTCACTCATGCAGTATGTATGCTACACGTTCTTCAGTGAGATGTGATTACCAGTGAACACATAAATAGAACATCAAGTGATACTAAGAATAGCCATTTATTCTACTGGGTGTAACTACAAATCAAGCACATTTAAAAATGAAATAATCAAGAGCCAACTTTTCCATTGTATGCAATAAATTATCACTACGAGTGCGTCGTAGTTATTCAGTCTTCTTCAACTGCCTGCTGAGATCGATATGATAGCTGTGATCTACATAGGCTAAAATGTTTAACAAATGAGAAGAAATCAAGTTGTGTTACTAACAATTGAATATTAAATTAGTTTGTAAACACAATAGTTTTCTAATGATCTTATATAACAGAGGCTTTGAAAGTACATCTATTCAACCCCAGTCCTAGTGTACAGAAGTGCTAGGTCACTCATTCGTATCTCCATGGTGTCCACCTCCATTCTGAACTGTTACTTTCACAACAAGTCCGACTCTTCCATACGTTTCTGAAACACATCAAGCGAACGTTTTAAATATCTCTCTTCTATGTTATTCATATTCTTATTACCTTCTGACTATTACGTTATTTTAGAAGATTTTACACAACTTCGTGTGCCTTTGTTAATAGAATAAGTATTATCTATCTTTTCGAAAATTATTGTGTGATAAATGGTTACAAATATCATAGTGCAGCTTCGGTAAGTGACATTATCGAAAAGGAAACTTTCTTCACAGAACTGTATTCATTTAAATGTAAAGTGATAACTGGTAGACTAAATGATTATCTGGGTGGTTAGAGGTAGCCGACAGGAAACCCTGGAACTATTATTTATGACAAATGGAAGTCAACAACAAGAAGGTGTACCTGTTATCATAAGTTAGTGTCTCTCAATTGTGTACTCGAATTCACGTCACCAAGTTTCATAGTCTGAGATGTGATCACTGAGTTATTTGTGATGCGACTGACCTCTTGCAGAATTGAATTGTTTGCATTTGAGTGATCACTAAGTTTGACCAATCACACGTTTAAATGAAGGTAACTGATTTGAAGTTATAATGTTCTCGTCTATGAAGCTGGGTGACGTGTGTCCAAATCATTCTAGTGATGCATCACTTATCTCATGACTATATGTGCTCCTTGTTCATAAATATCAACAGGCACGAAACTTACGTCCGAGCATTTCTCTCGACTACATCCAACCACCTAATATTACAACATAGTTCATACGATATCGAGTCACTTAGACCAATTACCGTACTGCAAGTTGAAAAATAAAAGTCGAGCAGCATTCAAACGACTAAACAAGCATGAAATTGGTCAATACTCATCGATCAATCAATATTAATCATCTGTGTTTTGTTGTAGTTGATAATATATTGATTTTCGATTAGCGGTAAATGTTGAATTCTCATTAGAATGATAATCAACTATCCACATTGAATTACATCTTTACTAAATTTAATTTCATTTGGAAACACAAACTGTGTCACAAGTAGTTCATCATGGTTTACTGTATTAATAAATCTAATGAAAATCAGTAGAATGATTAATTATTTTCCTGAAGTGTATAGATAGATAGATAGACAGATAGATAGATGGATAGATAGATAGATAGACAGATAGATAGATGGATAGATAGATAGATAGATAGATAGATAGATGGATAGATAGATAGATAGATAGATAGATAGATACACAGGACGGCCGTTTCGTCCTATCATGGGACTCCTCAGCAGTGTGCATCCACGATCCCGCACTCGCGAGACTCGAACCCAGGACTTACCAGTATCGAGCCGAAGCCCTTAACCGATAGACCACTGATCCGGCATCCAACAGTGTTAATGTCTAACATATAGATAGACAAACAGATGTTATCATGAACATTTAAATAATTCACGTTATCAGAATGGTTTCTGTTATTTTATTTGATCTGACTACTTTATCATACTTTCAGTATAAATGCATTTTTCACTCATTTCCATAGATTATCGCTTTCATTTTTAAAAACTTACACAGTGCCTTCACGATATCCAGTTTGAGTTGCTATTTCTTGCTCATTTGGTGATGTTAAAGAAATTGTTGTAGTACAATGTCTGTTTTCCATTGTTAACATATGATTAGAATTGAGTGAAATATTCACTCCGTCCAGTGAAACATACATTTGTCCTAAATGTAAAAAAACCATTACACAATAGTTAGTGAGGCTACAAAGTAAGATATTTCGATTGAATTGTGAACAAATCTACTCGAATAGTGTGAACATTGATTTGTACCTACATGCATGCACATTTTACTAGCTGTACGAAACCAATCTGTTTATTGAGTTGAAATAACGAGAGTGAAATTGCAAAGTGATGCTTCATGAAATGGAAAACGAGATATATGGTGATTAATTGATCAACAGACCTACTACCACAACTACCGTTACTAATACTACTACTACGACTACTACTAATAACAATAATAATACTGTAGTGGAGGGAGATTTGATGACGGAAACCAGCTTATTATTGATACGTCTTGTAAGTTGAACGCTATATTCAGATCCTAAGCTATTCCGATAACCCCAGGCTATAACTGCTCAGCGACTTGAACACCAGGGAGAAGACTCGAGTATGAGAGAAAACAATTTACTGCAAGGTTCATTTATGTACAGAAAATACAAGGATTTTATAGTAATTAAGAGACCTTGAGTTTAAATAGTAGCAGTGTGTTAATCAGCCAATCAGGATCTCGTTATTTTAGTAACATAACTTCACACAACTTCTAAATAATCGATGATTGGTCGGGGCTCTTTATGAGCCTCTGGAGGCTCTGTTACAGTTCTCTGGAAGCCGACTTAACACCTGTGGACCATCCTCACAATTATTTTATTCAAAATCACTCAAGGCTTTTGTAAAATATGAAAATCTTACATTTGATACATCACTTGCATATATTCCTTCAATTGGCCACTAAGCAGATCACCATTCTTCCAATCCTGTTATTATTTCTATTATTATCTGCTTTCATTCCTCTTTTCTTTTTTTCAATGTTTTAATGGTAGATATTCTACGTCCAATTCCTACTATATACTACTTATATGTGTCAGCGCATACTACTACTACTACTACTAATACTAATACTACCAATGACAGAAGTATTAACAATGATTAGGATAATGATAATGGATTGATAATACACATACCTGTCTCGCAAAACTCAATTGGTACCGTAAACGTGGCTGATTCAATCTCCATCATGATTGATGTGCATAAAATCACTACAGTCATATACAATTTGAACATGTGTGATATCATTCCTAGAGTTGATATTAATAATAATAGAAAGCGTCAGTCACACTATCACTTACATTCTCATGGAAATCAGAAAATATTAAATGATTTCTGTACTAAACTAATTGAATTTTATACAAGACTTGATTATGTTAATTTGATATTCTTATCACTGAACACATTACGTCGGGAAATAGAAGTGGATATGAAAAGGATGAATAACAGCTGAAAAGGATTGCTTAGAACAGAGTTGGATAGTGAGCTGATGAACGACCTTTGCTCCTCCATCAGGGGTAAGAGGCGTTAGAAAGTAAGTAAGTATCACTGACTATCTGTATGAAACTGTTCTCTATTCCTTACAATCAAATCCATTGATATTCACTCACTTCCACTTCGATACTATCTCACTTATATATAGAGTGATTATAATCAGTGGATTGTGTATGATCCACACGTTTCATGATTAAGTTGGATGAACATTTCGTGAAGATGACAATGAACCTTAAATTCTATTATCATTTTATTACGCTTGTCAGTAATAATACAATAGTACACCTCTCTGACAACCATCAATTTGTACATTCTACCTATGATGTGCAGTTCCGTGATCTATATCATTGTGATCATTGATCCATAAATTCTCTTGATCAGTTTGAATATTTTCATATATCCATAGGGAAAAGTCTGATGAAGATCGTATTGACAACAATAGTGTTCGACAAAAGAATTGTTGTTTAGTAAGTAGTTTACAATACTCATTACATACATAATACAGACTTAGAGTATACTGATGCACTAAAACACTTGTGTACATGAAATAATCTCACTGTAATCAACGTCCTAATGTACTACGAAACTGTAAGTCAGAAGATGAGCTGATAAGCTCAGTTACAAATCACATTTCATTATGAAAATATTACAGAACAACTTACTGCAACTGTCCGATTATTTTTTCAGATATTACTTGGACGGACCAACTATTTATACAAATGAATTGAATAATAAGCCAATGAGAAATCATTGTATAACATTGAATGTAGGTTATCAACCATAATGTACCGACATAACTACAGTTTTATACAAAATACCACCAAACGACTCAATGTAACAAAGTCTATTATGTTAATAATAAAAGTCGACCAATACTTGGATAATCCTGATTAAAATGATTCAATGGAATTTACAAATCATTTAGGAATGTTTATTTTTCACAAAACCGATGTTCATATGTATCGATAAATATGGTTGAGTGAACTCAAATTATGTTGTTTTTTCTTGTTTACGTATTAGTCGAATGGTAGTGATGCTTGCATTGATTAATGTTTGGTCATAAAGATATGTACTGTTCGAATAATGAATGATAGAATATCAAAAGAATCAGTGTTCTTTCAAGTCAAACGGATTGTAATATTTAGGGAGACGTTACCGAATCTCTAGATTTTCTGTTTATCAAGAGATTAGCCTTAGAGTTGTACTTCAGAGCAACCTAACGGAACATAAACAGTCTCAGGTGAACAATGATATCAGGTTTCCTTGTCAATCGATGAAAGTAAATGCGATAGCTCACGTGTTGTCCATGGGATGGACGGTAATGTCGTTGTACTCTAATGTACCATCAAACATATTCCGTTCATCTGTGATCGATCCGTCTGCATCGACCGACTAATCTTTTGAGTCAGCAAAATCTGTAATTACTGAAATGTTAGTCCATCAGATACTGGGACTGGTTGAAGCAGATAAATACTGTATATTGTTTGAAACCTAAAGTACAGTACATCATCACTGTGGTGTGTAAAGGAAAGGTCCAGCAAAGGATGTTCGTGTATCAAGTCAATCTGAGATGCAATTGTTCTTCAGAGCAACCTAACTAGACATCAATAGTCTCAGGTAAACAATGATATCAATGGTTTATCATGTATGTTAATTGTTTATTCCTTCTCATTATCTATAAAGTACACTGTTCATTGAGTTGGCCTTTCACTGATGGGCGTTGTATTTGAACACTTGTTTGCCATCGAATGAAAAAATAGTATCAGTATAATTTCTGCGTATATTTTGTGAATAGTCTTATATCGTTTATAGTGATCTGGAGAACGATGTTTATTCAGAAAAATATCTAACTATCCAAATTAACCTATATTGTCATAGTAGAAGAATTAAAGACAATTCAACGGGTAAAGTTTCCTCTACAATGACATCATTCACTCAATCTATACCATCATATCAATTATCAACCAACGAACAAAACAGTCTATTAAAATGTATCAGGGTGATTACCTCATATCACGTGCTAAGGAAAGTTGCTTAACTATCGAGAATTCGTTGAAAGATAATAAAATGTTATCGTTCTCCTTTAGAAAGACATATAAGATAATGTTCGGAGATGCGTTTGAGAAGCGCTTGCCTTATGCAGCTAATGAAACCTGTTCTACAAGACCAACTGAACACACAAATATGCAGTGATTCCATCCGATGTGGCAGATTATATTTGACACATTCATGAGTGATGGGGAGATTAGAAAAAACGATACAACTCTGGACAGCAAAGAGAGTTCATTCTAAGAATTCGTTTAACTGCTTTTCAAATGTTCTGCGGCGGTATCTCCCTAGAACTCAGTGTCCATGGAGAAGGTATTCTGGAACTGTAGGAGGTCTTCCAATTTGTTTGTTTTTTATATATTTAAGCACATAAATATTGGTACAAGGAAACACCAGATAAATATGCGCCTCACAAATCTCATTCGATTTGTGTGACGGCTGTGATACTGCTCAGGTGCCCAGACTGAAGCAGGGGGCCACACCCGGAGCCTTTGACCTAAATGTCTGATCCACAAGGCAGTGGAGCATCGTGAGGAGATGCAGTCCCATGGTAGCCGGTGATCAACGGTTGATTCGTACGCTATTTGTTCCTTCATGATACTGGAGCCAGTTCATGTGCACCATTGGTTTGGAATGAGGGTTTTCCAACTCCCCTAGGTGAACTCGCCTTGTCCACCAACCCGGTTAAAGCTCCGGACATTCGCTTTTCGTCCTCTTACTTTCGTAAACAACACCCCGTTCACGAGAAGGCAGTGAGTAGGACTTCCCTGTCAGAGGCTATATATTCGCTGGCCATATGAGAGCATTTCGAGAGGAAGAGTGGACTCTCCCCACTCTCGGCCGTACAAGGGCATTTGGGGGCAATATATCTGAAGTACCTTGTGTAGGCAGCTGTTCATAAATATTTTTGCCTTTTTGATGGTGGCTGAAGTAGTTCTGGTAGTTTCAGATCCCTAAAATAAGATTGTCATCACGTTTGGATCAAAACTATCAACTTTGGTGTTGACTGAGATATTATTATTACTATTATTATCATTACCATTATTCAATAGCAGCAAATGTTATGAGAAAACTATTTTGGGTATTTTCGAGTTGCAGATGTTCCTCAATTGTAAGAATATTGTCTTTGATTTGGCAGTTTTGCTTTGATGTATGCATCCTCCTTGTTCACTGATCATGTTGCTCAGGCAAATGAAAGTCTACATCTCTTCCAGAGATTCTCTATTTATTGTGATTTGATTGATGCCCCTAATGTTGTATTCAAGAATCTTGCTTTTTCTCTAGTGTATGTTGAGGTCTACTGCTGTATAAGCTGTCTTCATCTGTATTCTTTGTTGTGTATGAGATGTAAGCTAGGATATATGAAAAATCCAAATCATGTGACTGCATCTAAACGGTGCATTGTATTCCTCACTTCTTCTGAGGCGTGGATGTCTTCGTTGTTCAGTAACTATGGTGTACCTCAAACAATATTCAAAGTCATACGAAATTCTAATGATAGACTGTACTTCCAGTTTGTGAATAGAAAGCATCACATAGATTCATCTCCATTGAAGACCGGTATCAAGCCAGGTAGCTCGCTTCACCTCCTTCTCTTTCCTACGACGGTTAACTGGACTTGCCTAAATGAACATTCGAAGGATAGAAAATCAGTCATGTTTGAGTCAACAGATCATCTCATTTCCTTTTTGACTACCTCACATGAGTTAAGTAGCAATGTAAAAACTTCAACTATAAAAACACACAGTAGTTGTTATTTGAAATGATCCCGCGAGGCGGGATCGTGGATGCGCACTGCTGAGGAGTCCCACAATAGGACGAAACGGCCGTCCAGTGCTTCCAGGTTTCCCATGGTGGTCTAGCTTCAAATGACTAATGATCTAAACTATAAAAAAATACTAAAATTTCCACCAAACCCCTTCTGATACTTATGGATATCTTTAAAATAATCACTACTACTACTACTACTACTACTACTACTACTACTACTACTACTACTACTACTACTACTACTACTACTACTACTACTACTACTACTACTACTACTACTACTACTACTACTACTACTACTACTACTACTACTACTACTACTACTACTACTACTACTACTACTACTACTACTACTACTACTACTACTACTACTACTACTACTACTACTACTACTACTACTACTACTACTACTACTACTACTACTACTACTACTACTACTACTACTACTACTACTACTACTACTACTACTACTACTACTACTACTACTACTACTACTACTACTACTACTACTACTACTACTACTACTACTACTACTACTACTACTACTACTACTACTACTACTACTACTACTACTACTACTACTACTACTACTACTACTACTACTACTACTACTACTACTACTACTACTACTACTACTACTACTACTACTACTACTACTACTACTACTACTACTACTACTACTACTACTACTACTACTACTACTACTACTACTACTACTACTACTACTACTACTACTACTACTACTACTACTACTACTACTACTACTACTACTACTACTACTACTACTACTACTACTACTACTACTACTACTACTACTACTACTACTACTACTACTACTACTACTACTACTACTACTACTACTACTACTACTACTACTACTACTACTACTACTACTACTACTACTACTACTACTACTACTACTACTACTACTACTACTACTACTACTACTACTACTACTACTACTACTACTACTACTACTCACTAATACTTGTCAGATTTATAGTTCAAGTAGAAACTCTTAGATTACATTTATGTTTCGAATATACATTTCACCAATTTATTCAGTTACGTACTTGAAATTGAGATGTATGGACAGATGAGAAAGTGATTTTCACTCTAATTAAAGAGATTTATCTCACACAATCCAGAATACAAACTTTTTAGATATATCAGCTATCTTCTAGTATCTATTTTTATCTATTAACTAATCAATCTATCTATTATCTCCCTTTCTAACTATATATCTATCTACCTACCTGAGTACCTAACGTTCTATTTACTTATCTACGAATTTATTTACATACCTATCACGCGATCTGCATGACTATTAGTCTATCTCCCTTTTTCTGTCTATCTATCTGTTTTGCTATCTATGTTATCATCTAACCATAAAATTATATATCTACTTTAAGACGCGATGTCCTTGTATTAAATTAATAATGAACTATGTTCAGCACAATAAACAGCACGTTGTGGTGTATGCTACCTATATAGACATAAGTAGTATGTAACACCAATCACAAGTGGTATGTCTGGCAACAGAAGATTGACAAGAACGAATCTAAGAGAACAGGAACACAGAGTAATCATTATGGAAATGAAAAAACGATAAAGTTTGAGACGCTTTATGGAGGATTTCCAAATGAAGTATTGAACGTATAGTTCTCACATTTGACGAAAGAACTCTCTAATTTTGTATTAAAATAAAATCAGTTGTCCCCACCTATGTGTTCTCGTTCATTATAATATGAGTGTATTTTCGACAAGGGTCGCCGTGTTTTGGAGCTAATAAATCTTCACTTGTGCCAGTCTCGCTGTTTTTACTTAGCGTCGTAGGAATTACAGTGATTTCTCATTCTTCCCAGTATAAAAACATGAGACGTATATACAATGCTACCACTCTATGTCCCATTATATGTGAAAATTATATTTGAAATACTAATAATATATTGATGAGTACTCGTATAAAATATGTCTCAGCTCGTCTGACTGTCTATTTATCCATCTCTCTACCTGTTTATTAATCGGCTTATTTATCTTTCAAACTACCTACCTATCTATATAACTACTGCTTATCAAACTACCTATATATCAGTCTCTATATCTAGGAATATCATTTATCAATGGTTGACGTTCCTTTTTAGCAAGACTGTTTCCTGCGGGATAGGGTTGCCGACCCCACGCCCAAACCTTCTCCTTTAACCGGGCTTGGGACCGGCAGTAACTCTGGGAGAGCTACAGGCCAAGAAGTTACCCGTCAGGGACAAAGAAGGCAAGACAATCGCCGTGACTAAAGAACAGAGACAGAGCAGTAGAACACTTCGAGGAACTGTTGAATAAGCCAGCTCCATTGAATCGACCGGACATCGAAGCATCACACATAGACATTCATAAAGATGTCACTCCACCAACGACGAAAGACATCAGAATGACCATCAGACAAATCAACATTTGGAAAGCAGTAGAAATTGACAACATATCAGCTGATGCACTGAAATCAGACATAGAAATAACTGCAAACATGCTTCAGGTTCGATCCTGGGAGGAAGAACAAGTGCCACAGATTGACTGAAATAAAGGACAACTCACCAAGATAACAAGGAAGGGAGATCTGACCAAATGTGAAAACTACAGAGGCATCACACTACTGACAGTGCAAGAAAAGGTTTTCAACAGTGTTGCTGAACCGAGTGAAATACTCGGTAGACGCCTAACTTCGAGATCAACAGAACGGATTCCGTAAGGATCGGTCGTCCACAGACCAAATCGTGACACTGGGTCATCGTTAAGTAACCAATTATATGGAACTCGTCACTATACATCTTCTGTGATTATGAGAAAGCATTTGACAGTGTGGATAGTAGAACATTATGGAAACTTTGTCAACACTATGGTGTGCCTGAGGAAATCGTCAACACCATACGGAATTCATATGACGGACTACACTGCAAAGTGGTGTATGGAGGACAGCTGACAGATGCATTCCAAGTGAAAACCGAAGTCAGAAAAAGCTGTCTACTCTCACCCTTTCTCTTTCTTCTGGTGCTCGACTGGATCATGAAGACCTCATCTGAGGGGAAATATGGAATACGATTGAAAGCTTTAAATCAACTACAAGATTTGGACTTCGCAGATGACCTGGCTCTTCTATCCCATACACACCAACAAACGCAGATGAAGACAACTAGTGAAGCAGTAGCCTCTGCATCAGTAGGGCTCAACAAATACAAAAGAAATACCGAGATCCTCAAATACAACACAGAGAACACCAACCCGGTCACACTTGACGGAGAAGCTCTGGAAGATGTGAAATCTCCCATGTATTTGGGATGCATCATTGATGAACAAGGAGGATCTGATGCAGATGTAAAGGCGAGGATTGGCAAAACAAGTGCAGCATTCCTACAGTTGAAAAATATATGTAACTCAAAACAACTGTCGACCAATATCAAAGTGAGAATCTTCAATACAAACGTCAAGGCAATTCTGCTTTGCGCAGCTGAAACATGGAGAACCACCACAACTATCATCAAAAAGGTACAAGTATTTATATAGTTGTCTACGCAAGATACCCGATGTCCGTTGACTGGATACCATCAGCAACAACCTGCTGTAGGAGAGAACAAACCAACTTCCAGGTGAAGGAAAAATTAGGTAAGATGGTGGAATTGGTGGATAGAACATGCATCACAGAAATCATCAAACTGCATCACGAAGAAAGTGCCAACTTAGAATCGTGAAGGTAAACGAAAAAGAGGAAGGCCAAAGAACACAGTGTCAGGAATTGGAAGCAGACATGGAAGGAATGCATAGCAACTGGAAAATATTGCCCAGGACATAGCTGGATGGAGAATGCTGGTGGGCGGCCTATGCTTCACTACGAGGGGTAACAGGCGTAAGTAAACATTTGTGGCACGGCTACTTCTGTTTTTTGTCTTAATAATTTTTTTAATCCAATTCTGTCTAATGAAATCATCAGTTTTTCTATTGAGATCATAGATCGATCAATGTTAGAACACCACTGAAAACCTGGAACCATTGGACGGCTGTTTCATCCCAGTATGGGACTCCTCGGAAGTGTGCATCCATGATGACTAAATTTGAAATGGTAATTATTAGTTATTTTCTGGAAAGTGATATAAGACTTAAATATTCCTCGAATGAACACCTTTTTCCCAAACTACAAACGTGACTTACAAAGTACTAGATGCATTATTTCGAGCTTTCTAATCGCTTTCAGAAATTATGGAAAGACAGCATTTTGCCATTACGTGGGTCGTGATTCTCATTTCCATAAGCATCAAAACGTTGCCTCAAACACCATTGACGTTATCCCTAGCACCTGAGCCTCATATGCAAGCCCTCACTTTTATGGATGAAGGGATACCAGGAATCCAACTGATAAATAATACCAACTATCGAACGGAAGTGGATTTGGATGCAACGCTATTAATTCGAAAGAATTCAATGACAGAGACAACATAAACTGAGATGGTCATCCCATCAGACTGTGTGACATATGCCACCTTACTCAGCTGCCATTAGAAACCGTTGAGGGGAGAACTTGGATTGTTTGTTTCTGGAATGCTATGTATCATCCGTTTTGTGGTTAAGACCAACAACCGCGATTCCCTGATTTAATTGTCCAAAATATGGCACGATTACGGAAGTGTAATTTATTTATTTAAACACATAAATATTGGTATGAGGCTGCACAAGATATATATGCGCCAGACAAAAAATTGTCAGTTCGTTTTAATTGTGTGAGGGTTATGATACTGCTCGGGTGCCCAGACCGAAGCAGGTGGTTTTCTTAGGGGGGCACTACCCGAGCCTTTGACTTAAAGGTCTGATCCACAAGGTAGTGGAGCATCATGAGGAGATGCAGTCCCATGGTAGCCAGTGACCAACAATTGGTTTATAAGCCACATGTTTCCTCAAGGTACTGGAGCCCATGTGCTAGAAATCAGAGTATCCCAACCTCCCTAGGTGAATCCTCCATATCCACCAACCCGGTTAAAGTGCCGGACATTCGCCTTTCGTCCTCCAAATTTTGTAAACAACACCCCCGTCATGAGAAGGCAGTGAGTAGGACTTCCCTGGCAGAGGTTATATACGCGTGGCCATGTGAGAGCATTTCGAGAGGGAGAGCGGCCCCTCCCCACTCTCGGCCGTGCCAGGGCATTTGGGGGCATCGGTGCACATGCATCATATTCGTTTCACTGAAGTTGCAAAATAAGAACAATCATCCGATAGTACGCATTTCTAACATCTTATACATGAACAAATGCAACATGCCCTATGCCCGGTGTCCTTCACACATGAAACCATAAAAACGCGTTCAGCTGTCAAATTACAAAACCTTTATTATCTGCACTAAGGCTAATTTGCATTAGCATTCATTAATAAGCAATATCTGATATCTTAGTATATGCCATTACATTAACTGTAAATTAAATGAAATAATTATTATATTCTCTATCATTGCCTGTAAACTCCTTTCCTGTGTAATAATGATAAAATTGTTTGACCTTTAAATGTTTACTAAAACTTAATAAGATCAAGTTTTGTCTAAATTTCCACTTGTTATACAAAAAACAAACTTTTTAAGAAAATTAAAATATTTATTGCGACTTTACACTCCAAATACGAAGTGTACATAAAAAGATTGAAAAAAATAACTTGGAAAAAATACTACTAGTTGGAAACAAATCGGGAATTTTATCATTTTTTCTTTCTCGATGAGCTGCTTGTGGCAACTTGCTCGTTACTTTGATAAACTTCATGAGAAATACGACTCAGATAATACAACATCACCAGCGAAAATATGAAACTACGAATGAAAAAAATTACGTGATCTTTACCATAAATACAAGTCAATAGAAAAGCATAATCAATATTGATTCTTATATTACAAACTCTATGGGAAGTTACAGTACTTATTGATCTGACCGTAGCTGTAACTTTAATGTGGTGGTCGTGCTCGATCTTCCTAACGACTCAGTCAAGCTACATCGGCTCAGTTAATCAGTCACAACGTACAATCTGTACGTGCGTACGCAGGTTCAGGTTGCCATATCCCATTAGCACAGAGATGAAGTTTTTAGACCAAATCCCAGAACAGTAGAGTAGGTAACAGTATCACAGGTAATAGGAAAGATAAGGCACTGAAGATACGACTCAAAAAGAAAATATCAATTAATGAAATAAAAGCACAAAAAACTAGTTGCGAGAAATTTAGAATCTCAGAATTTGGAGAAAAACTAAGAGTGGATGCACATGCACCATTGCAAACGATTTTCATCCATGTCATTCAAAGTCTCTAACCATTGGTTGACATAATCACGTGGAGTCAAACCAGTTAGTCTTAACCTATTAACATGACTAAGTTCAAATGTTAGTGGCATGATGGAACGATCTCATGTCTTGGTCTGGCCGACCCTATATTCATTCCAGCCTACTCTTGCACCATTAAACATCCCTCGTCGATGTAGGCGGTGGTCGGGCATACGCAAAACGTGTTCCAACCACCTCAGTTGATGAGGATTTACTACTCCCTCAATGATCACGATAAGGTTCATTTGCAATTACCTTTGAGTCAGTTGTAGGGGGTTTTGCCATGTCAAACGATATCTTCTAACGCTATACATGTATCTTATAGATATCCTCTATTATTAGTGACTATGCTTTACACCCATATAGTAGAACAGACAGAACTGCTGAGCAGCAAACTTGTCCTTTAGTTGACAAATGGATACCTCGCCTATGCTACAAGTGATGTAAGTTGATATAAGACAACCGAGTATTTTGATTTCGTGACGATCCCGCCAGCCAATCTTGAAGTAACACTAGAAGGGAGAGAACTGCAACCAAAATGTCCGCATTGTTACTTAAAGTAGTCAACAGACTGCATATTGTCAGAGTCTTCACCAAACAGAACCATATCATCTGCGTATCTTAAAGCAACAGTTGAACCTCTTGTTAGATCAACTCCTGGAAAGCCAGAAGACGAAAGAGTTATCTCTAAAATCATATATGTGGCAAAGTTATATGTAAATCGAGAAAGCGGACAATCCTGACGAGCACCTGAAGTGCCCGATTCCGACGATAGTTCGACATAAACTCTGGCTCGACCAGAAGTGTTCTAGTAGAGATCCGGAACAATGTTGATGTACTTATCATTAAGGGGATCAATGGAAATTGCCGTGTGAATGAAAGTTACCCACCTCAGACAATGAATGAACGGTTGGTCAAGATAATGGATCGACTGAAGTTAGACATAAACATCGTCGGATGTCGGCTTAGTGATTTAAAGGTTAAGAGTACGAGCACAGAACTGAAGGTCCTCGATTCTAACCCTGCGAGTGGGACAGAGTATGTGCAATACTGAGGAATCCCATACTAGGACGAGACAGCAGTCCAATACAGCCGGTTCTTTAAAAAACCGTTCTCCATACTATGGAGTAGGAATCCCAATAATGTTTAAACATCAATTCGATCAAACCTACAACTAGCATCAGTACAAATATTTAAACAATTACATCATTACAATCTTACCATGTCGTGCCGCACACCCGATGTATAGTCGCAGAGAAAGAACAGGCAATAAAAATGCATATGGCCACTTCAAGTATGTCAAATATTATTCGATAATACCTTCAGGAAAGACTCCGGAACAAAACTCATCACCAAAAAGTGTTCTTTCGAAATTATTTACAAACTACAATGTTAGCTGAACAACAATAAACTAATACCGTTATTAATAGGACGAAAATTAAACTCCCGAAAAATCCACCAAAGATTGTCAAAATTTGTGAAGAAGATAACGTTTCTGCAAACAGCCGCATAGCTGCAAACACTACAAGTAACAACAACAAAGACATAAACGACGAAGCTCCAGACTTCAGCACCATTCTTGTGTGCTACGTCAATGTTTAAAGTGGCCGCTACAAACGTCTACAATTCCATGGTTTCAAACAGCTATGAAAAATAAAATACCGTTTAATGGACGTCCACGTCTAAAGGGAGTAGGCATCTATAATCTAATGCTAGAAGCCTAATTATCCAAAAGAAACTTCAATTCCTCCAAATTTTTTATGGACAGGTGTCCGAGAAACTCCCCATCGTGGTTCAATTAACAGATTCGCACTATTCACTGTAAGAGGAGAAGAATGTGGGATAGATTTATGTCACTAGGTACTGGCGATACAAAACTTCGATATCGAGTAGCTCAAAATATTTGTATCTCGAACCTTCGCAAGCCCAGAAGTTTATACGAAGAGAAACTTATTAGGGAATCGCTAAAATGCTGTGGGACCGTTGAATTGTCACTGGGCCCTAGCCAAATCATCCGGCAGTTGAGTCACCGAATATAGAACAGATTATCGATCCCCGTCAGACTCAAAGACAATCAACGCGCATCAGATAATATCACGCCATGAACTGGCCAATGTGATAGTGCCCTTACTTTCGCTTGTATCTACTTCAACTAATATATTTATGTATTAACGTCCTTTGTGTTTTACAGTCTTCAGAGCACCCTTGATATGTACGTAAGGTGCTGACCGCGAGGTGTGACTCCGATGTTAGTTGGTCCCTCACACCAATTCCAACTAACTCTAATAGACCCTCAACCATTCTATATAAATCATCACAGTTGATGATCTGCAATGCACTAAACGCTTAAATTCAAATACGACTTGGTTAGTTTTTTAAATAACTTGGTGGTAAATTCGCATCTGATGTGCCCTTGCTTTTCTTGTCTACCGAAACAGAGAATTTACGAGGACACTTAAAATGTTCACAAGCCCAGAACAAGCTACTTGTCAGCTGACTATCGACTTTCCCATCGAATCATCAAGGAATGAAATTCAATACCTCAACACGTGAATGAAGTTCCATCTGTCGACGATCTCAACAGAAAGTTGGATCAACTGAGAGACCATCACTGCCAGGGAAAACACAGACCACCTGTCCATTCCAAACTGAGACTGATTCAGTCTCAGCATGCATAGGCAGTTCAACGCACCATATAACCAATTTACAAAGACGTCAAGAGATAGGCCACAGCATCACATCGGATTAATCGGCAAGCTCGTCTCCGGTTCAAAAAGCTTATCTCGGCATGAAGCCTTTCTAATACAAGCCATAACCGGAGTTTCACTGCTCTGAATTCCTGATGGCTCAGCCAACAACGATGATGACGCAAAAAAGCCCTGAACCATGGGATATCTTTATGCATTTCCGCTGCCGCATACAATCCTCGTCGGTGAGGGTCCCATCTGCAACCTGATAGGAGTTTTAAGATTAAACCTAAGAAACTGTAGAATCTAGACCTAGACACTTCTTCCGGACCGGACATCGTTCGATTTGCTATACTGAAAGAAACGGTTTCGATCTTGGCAACACCACTTGGTGCAATTTTCCCACACTCACTAAGTTGAGGCACATTCCTAGACAATTGGGAGCAGGAGGCAACCACGCTAATATTCAAGGGTCGATAAAATGAACCTTCAAGTTACCGGTCGTTAGTGCATCTTTCAATGCCCTCAAAAGTTATGAAGTCTTTGATATGCACCATTTCACGTGACTACTTGTTATCCATACTTTTTTCACCCTAAAAACAGTTTCAGAAGGAGCCACACCTTCATAATCAATCTGATGACTGCTGTAGGTGGATGGACGACCGTACTTGATCGGAAGGGGACTACAGGTGTGACACCTTGATTTGTCAATATCTGTTGGTAAGGCCGGTCATACATATCTCATCAAAAAGCTAAAACTGTTGGATATCAAGTGAACGTTAATAGTTCGGTTCGCTTAATACCTAAATAATCAACGTTTTAGGGCCAGAGCATAATGTACTTTTTCTTAGGCTACAGAATACTCTGTGGGAATCCCCCAGAGTCCTTTACAAGGACCTCTTCACTTTTTAATCCATACGAATTAACTTCGTCAAGTATCATCCGAGTTATTACTTCACCCTGACGCTGTTAAACACTGGGGAGAAATTAACAACCAGAATGATAATCTGGAACTTTGGGAGGATCTGACTCAACTTATAAGGTGGACGGACAACAACGGACTTACTGTCAATACTGAAAAGTGTCAAGTAGCCCGTCTGAGACATGTGTAGTGGAACTGGATCCTAACCACAACCCTCGAGTTTGAATATGAGATAACTGTGAAAACAAACTTTCAACATGTAATACTAAGAAAGGATCTTTAATGATGGAGGCGGTGACAGTCATCCGAAATTCAATCTATCGGGGGGCATGGCTCAGCCTTACAGGGGTGGCCATTCTTGTGTGTTATCTCTTTTCTTGATATAAAATATGTTGCTCTATCTTCAGCCTAAATGTGTTCTCTTCATATATTCGTGATGATTACGGTAAGACAAGTCAGCGTAGACAATGATGTGACTTCCATGTAAGATCTTATAGAGCAGACAGTTACATCATGATAAATCTACAATTTTAGGATTACGTCTATTATTAGAGCAGTACTAATAACGAAGTAGACCATAATTCCATACATGTCAAAGACCACATATAGAACTTGGGTAATTTCCCTCTGGATGTGTCCCAAATTGGTAAAAGTCTGGAAGTCTTGGTACCCTATCATCTAGAATGTTGCGCTAACTGTGGCAAAAATGTATTTCGAGCAAGCCTTTCACTGAAAATTTCCAGGCGGATTTTCGTAGTTTCGGCTGTAAAAAGTCCCACTTAACCTTTAACGTTTTCGTTCAGCTTTAGATAAAACAAACCGACACAATGTTTCGTCCTTGATCTGTCCGCCAAATAATACACAGGAGTGGGCTTGTCGGGGGCCAGATTAAGGCCTTGACACGACAGACACCCTTGTTCCACCTAGAGGCCAGAAATATGTGAGTTCGGATTAACACTAACGGCACTGGAAAGAAGATTGAAAACTATTCTATCAACTTATTGGTTAAAAAGCGAAAAAGGGAGAGGAAGACAAGTCAACTGGAATACTAATTAACTTATTGCTGATTTAGATCGGTGTAACTAGATGAATAACACGACTGCAATGCAAAAACAGGTGAAAATATAATTATGTGCAATCTGGATCTTAGTGTAGAGAAATGGTATACAAAAGGTCGCATTTAAATTACAACAGCTGCGAAATAGAAAAGGATATGGAAATGAATAAATTAGGTAGGGGACCAAATGTCAGTACATTACAAACTTTGAATGTCGTGAAATAATTTCCTCGAAATAGTTTCCGTCGTTTCTTCTGGCTTTTTTATTTCTCTGTTCATATCATATAGTGTTCATCCCTCAATCGGAAAAATGGGAACACACTTGGACCTATCCACGGGTGAGCCATGAAATCAGTCCAAGAACTCGAACCCAGACCTTATAAGGATCCCCTCAAGCCATTGTATCTTTGCCCATTAGAATATGGTCGTCTCTGAGGTAGCTTTTTAACAACTTGTGTAGCAAGCACACTTAACTATTGCATTATTTGTCTGCTAGCGGTAATTTAAACATGTAACCCACTATGTAAAACTATGTGTGAGTCTGATTGAGCGCGTGTCCGCACATCGATCTTTAATCTATTCTCTCATTGATTGCAAACAAAGATAATCAATAATTTATCAACAATCGATTAACACTCCTAAATACATACAGATTTTTAACACACACTCACTCGTTTCCCCGTGTGCTTGCTATCCGCGCGATTTCAGATTTCAACAATAAACTATCCCTATAACTGGTGTCCGAGCTTTTGAAATGTCTCGAGTAAATCCATAATTTTATTATATTTAGTCTGCGTTAAGTACAAAGGTAACGGGATGTTATTTATTGGAGTCAGATGTAAGGGAAATCGCCTTTACATTTACAGCACCTCAAACTCTCTTGAGCATCCTAAGAATACCTACCCTGGTTCAGTTTTAGCACAGAGTTTAGGGGGTACAGGAAAAAGTCAGCGACACAATATAGTAGAATGAACTGTGGACTCACCTTCCACTCTTTATGAGTAGTCAAATTTTGGAATGGACTGTTGACTGGGGTAGTCCATGTGACTTCCCAAGAGTCCATCAAGAGGAAACCTAACTTAGTCCTAAGGACGCCTGGCAGCATTTCATCATAATTTATTGTTATTTCTTTTTCATTCGTTAAATGTACCTAGGTCACTACTTAAGGACGTGGATCACACAGTACTACTTAATGCGGGAAGCCCGTTGAAAGAAATGCTCCTTAATGTTGTCTATAAAAACTTTCAGCGATTTATTTATCAAGTGAAAACAACAAAAAGTGAAAGCAAAGAAATCTACTGGTGTATACAGGCTCATGGCAAAGATATTGTTTCTTTGATGTCGTTGAGGTTACGACTGGTATTCTAGTTTGACAACTAGAGATCAGTAGCACCTTCTATATTCGAAACTTCTTCCGCCCAATAGAAATCAGAAGTCAGACGAGAAGAGGTAGGAAAGATATATTTGATACGTTACCAATATATCGAGAAGCGTTTGTTCTTAGCTAGCAAGTGAACGTAGGAACTGTGTCCCACGCCGAGTCGAAACGTGATCTGGTACGGATGCATGACCGAAAGCCTTCAGTTAAACAAGTCCACTTAAACAACGTGGTCAGCATCCAATATCGAACGCTTAGAAAGCTATTGATTTTGGGGGATTACTTACAGTTACAGATCACTCCCGCCCTAGTGAGGCAGTGATGCCCCTAGGACGGGACCAGCCAGAAGTTTAAACCCAACGAGTTTGTCGTTGGTTAACACTCTTCTGATAGCTTGCTTCGTTTAGCAGCGACTGGTCATCTTTCCTTACACTAAGGGACCATGAGGTACAACATAGCAATAAAGAAATAAAGTATAATGAAAATTTCGGTTCCTTGTGAAACTTCGTCGTTCTTTTCCAGCCGTTCTGGAA